CAATTTCTTTTTTCTAAGTCATCACGAAAGGAAAGCAGTTGTTGGATTCCCAAAAAGGGCAAATGGTCGCAGAAAAAAGAAAGAGTAAGCGCCAGTGGTCACATTGCGCGGAAGTTAATCAAAGCTACGAAATGATGAACAATTTCTTCTTGCATGCCGTAGGAAATAAAGCTGGAAAGGGCTCTGAAAGCTCCTCTTTGCTTTTTGATCAAGATTAATGCGGAATTATGAAAATAACACCCAATTTCATCAAGCCGTGCTCGTAATTAGAGGCCTCTTTCGAACTTAATCTCCTACTGCATAGTGCTTGGTAAGTAGTGAAGAACTTCCAAGTTCGCTCTTAAGCGGAAAGTGAAAATGGCAGTGTTCTTTGAAAGAAACCTTGACAAAAACGGAAAGAGTAACCAAGCCAAAGTTGGCTTGGCTGGCTGTATCATAAGAAGACGCACTGTATTTACGGATTTTCTTTGCCATGTGAGGTTGAACGGTCTCAGGAAAAAAGGCCTTGTGTTGTTATTCCTTCATCCTAAAAAACCAGTGCTATCACTATTGACAGCTGATTTTCGCATCGGCCGTGGCATCAGGTAGCGGGAGTCTTCAATGCACAATGATCTAGTGTTTCAGCGGGAATTAAGAAAAACCAGATTTGTACGCGGTCGAATTTTACCAGTGAAAGCCCATATCGTTGGAGCTAGGCCATCAGCGGCATGGTTTAGTGCGCACTATCCCCTTTTTATCACCGGTGATCATGCCGGAAAGTCAATCGAAGTGAAGATGGAAAGGCGAAAGAGACATGGGGAAGTCAGATCGTGTTTGCGGTTATGCTGGGCTCAACGCATGTGGAATTCGAGCAACATTTTTCGAAAATTTCTTAGGTCTTGTGCAGATGTCTCGTGTAATCATCTTGACACAGCATCAACTTCTGTTCTGATCCTTTTCAACAGCGTCACGTAGATCCCTGATGCCGTGGGTCATGGGGTGTCTTCTTTCGATGAGAGAAGTCAAGCAAATAGAATGTTGAACCGGCGCACCGAGGCTTCAAAGCTTGACCGCTCTCATGTCGTGGACGAACTTTTGCTCAACGTGACCATGGGACGAACCTAACAGGTACTCAGAAAAAATGGGAAGAACCTAACAGGTACCATGGGAAGAACCTAACAGGTACTCAGAAAAAATGAGGTATAGCAGTCTTTCCGTGCAAGAAACGTCACATCAGTGGTTGTCCTCTAGAGGTCTATCCTATACAGCAAAAGAAATCGTTCACACCACTTCTGCCTGGGTTGAGCCTTTAAGCGGCAGCTCGTCTCGATGCTGAGAATATAAGGTGAAGTCCTTCGGCAGTTGTTTCCACTGTCCTGTATTTGTGATTTGACTAGATGACGCTACTCCTGTCACAATAATCCAGAAGGTCTTGAGAGATGGGGCATTCGTGGCTGGGTTTTGATTGGAACATCAAGACTTTAAACCATTATATATTGAAATGTGTTGCAGGCACTAAAAAACGTCAACGAACAACGTTCTCCCAAGCGCAATTGCATGTTCTTGAAGAAGCGTTCTCACGTCAGCAATACTTGGTAGGCAGTGAACGTCTGCGTCTTGCCGGCCTATTAAACATTGGAGTCACTCAGGTAATGTATGCCTCCATGTACATCATTTATGGGCTTGTCTAGGACATCTGCTAACCAAAAACTCAAATGAGCACTACCTATGATTTCTCAAAGGTGTCTGATGAGAGTCTATGTACGTTGCGGTCCTTGCAGTCGTTTCCTCCCGTGTATGGTCCATTGGTAATTGTAGTGGTAAACTATGTTGGTAGAAATGGAAAGAAAAGAAATGTGTCGGATTCTTGCAGATGCATGAAATTAGATCATGGTCTCAAATAGTAGTAGGAAATCCAATCAAATTAAGCTTCGACTGATTTAGGTGAAGGTGTGGTTTCAAAATCGGCGCATTCGCTGGCGACGCGAGCAGCGGCAAATGTTGCTGAACATGCAGCACCATCAGCCACTCCACGGTCCTCCTTCGCCAACGATGATATCTTTGAATAGTTCCACCTCTACGTTGGCACGAGCACTGGATGATAGAGAAGAAGTACCATCTCCTACGCCTTCAGAAAGCTACGTAGCTGAAAATTTTGGTCAACGAAATTAAATGTCTTTTAATGATCAAAGAGTTACTATACAACATAATTCACACAAAAAAATGATTAAAGAGTTGGAGCACCTTCAAGCGTGCTTGTTTGTGAGAACGGTAGGTGAATTTACAGAGTGGGGAACGATGTTGGCTGTATGGGCCCTTTGACTTTGGGACAATGCAAAACATGCAGGCGTGAGTGAACTCCTCTCTTTGGTGTGAACACATGAAGATGTGAGTATATGATATAAGAACATTATGATACTTGCCTTGCATGACACTGCACTGTCGTAAGATTTGAGATACGTGATGATGTGGTACGTGAACTACTAAAGTATAATAAATAGGTGATGATTCTATGTACAGTGATGTATCGTTAAAGAGGCCTGAGATGTAATAATGGATGTGGCGAGTCATGACAAATTAATAGCTATATATTAGGCACGCCAAGTTCAGCATATTAGAAAGGAGCGGGAAGAAGTGAAGCATGCAGCAAGAAGTGAAGCAACATAGGATGAATGTGTCAAAAATCTTATTCCCATTAATCGCATTTATTTATTTATTTATTTTTATTAATATAATATTTAATATAATATAATATAATATTTAATATAATATTAATATAATATTTATTATAATATTTAATATAATATTTATTATAATATTTAATATAATATAATATAATATTTAATATAATATTATTAACTTTATATTTTTGATTAAAGTATATTCATATTGACCGCCATCGGACGAACATGGGCCTAAAAAGCTTTGAGGGATCTCCATTTGCCCGTCTGCATTACAGGGTACTGTCAACCCGTGCTCTGAGGCCGCAAACGCAGGCCCACCCTGAAGACTATGCGTGGTATAATTTTTGTTACCGATACCTGGTATGAGCGATTGTTGCTGTAAACGCGAATCAGTGGTGGATGTACTGAGAGGCAGATTAATTACTTTTGATGGAGATAGACGATCATTACTGAATTTTGCCGCACATTTCATCTGCTTTTGTAAAAAGTGCGTGCTTTTTCGAGTCTGTGCTATCAAAAATGACGCGGTAGCTCCTCTAAGTGTCGTCCGTTTTTGTTATGCTGACGCTTATACAGTACCGCCCTCTATGGAAATGAGGTCGACAACCTTTGATGTAACAGCTTCACTGAATCTAAGAAAGCTTCCGAAAAGCAGTATGGTCAAGGAACTATCGAGAGAGCTTTTGGGTACGGGCGCTCTGCTCCGAGCCGCACTATCCAGCAGAAATGTTTTTCTGTTTCTATTTCCTTATCTGCTCCTTTCTGTTTTCCTAGGAAGAATGTGAGAGCAGAGGATATGGTGGGCAGCGTTTGTGCTGGCTTTTATCGATGCAGCGAATTGAGAACAGATTCCTTGCTTTTGATATAGGAAGATCCTCGTCGCGTTCTTCTCCTCACCATTGCATGAATTTCTTACATTTGATGAACAAGCCTTCAACGTGGCGTTGGGTCGGTGATTTCTGAGAGAGTATCTGATAGTGCCACTCGCGGTAGCCCGTGTACGCGTGTATAAGTTATCTGTCTGTAAATTTCCTTTACTCAATCACCTTAGTGGCTGCAGTTGTGCCGTTCGTTGAATAGTTCGTCCTGGGATGGTTCAGTTTTCTGGCCTCAAGTAAAATGCGTTGACAAAGCCACGTTTCGAATAACACAGCAAAAGTATTGTCTTGGCTCGACCACTTAGCAAAAAACCTGATACTTGGGTAAATGAATTTTATTCATCTCAAACAATAGCATACAATAACATAACGTAACCTACAATATAACAAGAATGTAATTTACGGAGGTAACCAAACCTTTACCATAACCCCTTGGCGTCAAATAAACTGTGGTGTGCAGAAAAAATGCACACTCACACTAAACCTTACGCCATCGATTGTGACACAACATGCTGCAATATCAACTTGCTTGAGAAAGATGCTTTTCAGAGGTGATTGATGATGCAATGCATTATAGATATGTTGGGAACAGCCATATCGAAGGATTCTAGATCTCTGAATATGCTAATGTGCGAAAAGGTCAGAAAAATGTGACAGTGCTTCCTAGTAGTAGTATCCTGGACACTACGAATTCAATTTTGCCCAGTTGAGCGTGCAGTCATCTACAGGGGAGCTTTGCTCAAAAACAGGCGCATCTTCAATAATTTCTGCCTTTACATCGTAGCATTTCTTTTCACGAGAGGAGCAAAAGCTTTCAGTGACTCCAAGCGTAGACTTTTTCCGAACAAAACGATTCAGTTTCCTTTCATACCAGGAGCCATCGCCAGTTGTAGAAAGTTCGTAATATCCACAGAGCGGTTCTTCATCCAGGCCGCAGCTTCATGTCGAAGCAGGTCATGCCATCGGAATGTGCGTTCACGTTGGTGCATCGCTGCGCTTACACACGCTTACACTCAGCCATCCTCGATGTTGACACCATAGTGATGGGTTCACTCGTGATTGCATGCTTCACATTGTCCCAGAATGAAAGAATCCATACAGCCAACACCCCCTCCCTATGTCCCCTCGGGGACTGAGCCATAGGGGAACTAGGGAATGGAGAGTGTAAGCAATTTTAATTTCTCCTAAAATTCCTCCCCTCATCGGTTCGGTCCGCACAACGATTCCTCACCCGACGACATCAGCGCCCATCTTGAAGACGAGTTTACGAATTCAACAATACAAATGTAATGAATCTGCTGTAGCAATGCTATCGAAAACACTAACGATGCAGCGCGTTATGACCTCCTGTCCTCTTTCCCACTTTTCCAGCAGTTTCACGATTGCTGTGAAAGGTTTGGCGTGATGTTTACTCGCCGAAATTCGAAATCGTTGGCGTGAATTGCGGCGTAGTGTGCGTTTTTTCTGCACACCACAATTTATTTGACGCCAAGGGGTTATGGTAAAGGTTTGGTTACCTCCGTAAATTACATTCTTGTTACAATATACATATACATACATGTATACAGCAATTGCGAAACAAACGTCTTCAGATTATAAAGGTGAGATTAAGGGAATGAGATACAGGAACAACAGTTAAAAACATCGAAACATAATGAGCGAACTTCTTCAATCATAGAGTAAGTTTCAGTAAGTAAGAAAGAAGCGTAAGAAACGACGGCAAAGGTCAGACATCGGAACTTTTGAAATACTTGCGGGAAGAGGGGGAAAGATTCCTCTTGTGGTGGTGTTGTGGCGACTGGGAATCGTTCTCTGGAAACTGCCTTTTGGCGAGGCTTCGGCGCGCAATCGCTCCTTCCATCGATCTATGCTCTACTTGATGACTAGTTCTGCGCAGAGAATTGTCATCGATTGTCTTGGATGATTCTGAGAGTGCTGTGCCTCCAGCACATAGCCTGCATTCTATGGCTGTCCACACAGGTCCGCCGCTTCTTTCCATAATGGAAGTGGAATTAAAGTGTGCTTGGGGCGAGAGTCCTCTCTTGGACTTGACAAGAACCTGGAGTAGAATATCCATCTGAGGCATTGTGAAGGCGACCCTCTTTGAAGACATGCTTGTTGTCGCTATGCGAGACATGATGAAATACAGTCGTCTGTTCTGGCATTCTATGATTTACAATATTCGACATGATGAAGTCTTTCTTTCCCTACTTTGGAAAGCAACACTTCTTGTATTGACTACACCATGAAAATATGTGGGAATAATCGACACGTCGTTTGCTGGAAGGTGCGTCATGTATTTGTTTTCTCAGCAGACTTTTGATTGATTCGAAGCCATATTCAGGTCCAATGTCGGATTCGGGCAGAATGTTGGGAATGTCAAAGTTCTTGATTAATGAATACACCTATTCTGTAGGATTGACGGTTTTTTCATTTGTCTTCTGTTTCTGATGATCGTAAAGGTTTACGCAGAATGATGCAAGAACTACCGTAACTTATACCGCCTTAAGGAGTGAAACATTGTCGCGTTTTTTACTCACGAAGAAAGATAAGAGAAGTACAGGCCTTTGTTATAGATGCCTCAATGAATCAGCATAAATATTTCGTCGAAAGCACACTTACGAAATTTATTCACAGAAAAAGTAGATATAATTTAATCAAATTAACTCCATAATATTCTGATAGAGTGAATGACTCACATTACAGCGTGGTGCATTATTACTGCTAGCTGGAATTGACATTAGTACTGGAATCCTCAGCATTGGTTCGAGATTTACTTGAGCCTCTACTTATAAGTAAGTTCATCGCGGTTAACTCGAGGACAGGCTGACATTGAATTGTATCTCGGTCTTATCCTGCTGAATGAAATTAAAGTAAAGTTTGGAAGAATGAATGAAATAATCCTCAGATTCAAGCAACACCTTTACACTTTTACTCCAAGAATCACGCTATTAAAGGCTTGAGGAGACTTCGTAGGATGCGGAGAAAAAACGAGTTTCCTTCACCCATTATTCAGGGTTCCTAACGTTCTTAAGGGATTCAACGCTAACAGCTAATGAGTTGAAGGAATCAAACATCAAATGAGGCCTGACAGTCAGTTGGCTCAGTCACATCCGAGGGAATATTCCAACTGAAATAGGCAAGCAGCAACAATAAAAAATCGTATACTAATGATCAAATGTTTAAATTGTAAGCAAGAGAATTGGGGAATTAGACTGGGAAGAGGGAGCCTGAGAAAAGGAAGCAAAAAAAGGAAAACGTCTATGGACGCAGAAGCAGGTGCTGGGTTGGATGACCGATGGGGTTATCTCAGTTTCTTTAAGAGAACGGAGGCAAAATCAGGATCTGAAAAAATGGACAATATAAATAAACTACCTCTTGCACGGAGTTGTAATACGGTTCCCTCTTTCCTCTAGTTAAAGTGTTAACTGGCCAATCCTGAAGCAATACTTGAGGTGGTCTTCCTGTGTACTCTGCTCGCCCAAATGGATGAATATCCATGCCACGCGGTACTACACTTGAAATCAGTACACAATTAGTGTGCACTTCACTCATCGAAAGAGTGCCAATGCAACAAAGGGGTGGCTCTTGACGGTGCTCGGGCAAAAAT